CAGGGCTCTCTCTCTTTGCTCTATTCAAGTGAGCTCTGAGCCCCAGCATGCTGGTCCCCAAATAAACCCTTTGCTGTTGCATGAGACAGTCTCTTGGTGGTCTCTTCCTCTGACGTTTCACCAGTCCCTTACAATATGAAGTCCAATTATGTGTGGAGTTTAAAGGAATAGATACGAAGTAAGGTGGTTTAGTAAGTAAGATTAACAAAACAAACAAAAAAGGCTCTCTTTGTTCCCCCATCCCCCATTTAGGACTCTAGAAAGTGACCACCTGTCAGGGGTCCCTCTAGGGCCCAGCCAGATATACTTTGTGACAGTGTGTGTGATGTCAACAATCACCAGAAATCGGACCCAAGATTCAAGGTGCATTAGAAAAGTCTGGTCCTTCCCTGCCACTCCACGGCTTTTTGGACTTGAGAGACGTGGGTCATGATGAAGCCAGAATTAGGCAGTCAGTACAGAYAGGTAAATCTAGTCGAGTCCGATCAAGGAGGCCAATTTTGAGTGAGTCCAGCAAGTTGGAGACTGTCCCCCCGCCCGGGGATTGAAATGTTAATTCCTTCAGAGCCCTTCCTCCACCCTTACCAAGAACCTGCCCCAGATCCAACCTGTGGCCAAGGTAACCTGTCCCAGGAGTTGCCCCTCCCTACAGGGAGCCAGAGATTGTTAATTAATGTGTCCTTGGCTGCTCCTTCCTGCCCTTCCCCCTTCCCCCCACCTGTGGCCATCCCACCCAGCATATCCTAGGTCTAGTCAGATGCCTAGTCACAGAAAGGAGAGAGATTAGGGGAAGAGGGCAAGAGAATGAAGCAAACCTAGAACATACAAAAAGGGCAGAACGCCTCGCTTCTTGGGATACCAGGACACCCTCCCAGGAGAAGTCTGTATTACCCCTTTTTAAATAAACCCTGCTTTATAGGCTTGCCTCGGCGTGCTTCTCTAACGTTCAAACTTTAACACGTGAGGGAGCAGAACTCGTCACCAGTAACCGGCAGTATCAATAGCTGCTGCCTCTTGTCCCTGTAACCTTGGGTTGTCCTTTCACTTCTCTGGCTGTTTATCTCCTATGGTGTCACAAGCTGTGATTCAGTGACCAGAGGTTTTCAAATTGACCACTGTGAAGGGGAACTGGGAATAGGAGAATGGGGTGGTAGGTGGAGCCCCSGGCCCTTTATCCCTACTACAGCCAGAGCAGCTCCACGTTTATTGATTGCATATATTGGCTTTAAATTTGCCCATAATGTCTGCCTCAAGGCTTTAAAAATAATGGCTGGACTGGGTGACAGCCAAGGTGTTTTCCCAGAGAACTTTTTCAATAACCTCTGCCTCATCACAGTTCCTCAGTGACCTTCCATTGTCTTCTGGAAGCTCAGGTCCCCTTGAAGTGAACATTTGTCACAACTGACATTCAATTGGTAAGTAGTTTGTGTGTGTGTGTGTGTGTGTGTG